TATCTCTATCTATACTTTTTGTCCTAAATTTAATTTTGTACTAGGTCCTGTAAGTTATACAGCTGACATTCCATAGCCCTTGTGTTCCTGCACTGTGTGCAATGGCTGAGTTAGAGGAGATCTTCTGGGTACAAAAAGACACACTAGGGATGTGGTTTAGGTCAGTGGCAGAGCACTAGCACGTGTGAGGTCTTGGTTTACTCTTCAGCAACACACACACACAAAGACACCCAAAAATCTATTTAGTACTAGTCTGGGTAGTTTAATTGAGGTATATTCATTTGCTAGGGCTGCCATAACAAATGATCACCAAATGGATGCGTTAACCAACAGAAATATATCCTAGCACAGCTCTGGAGACGAGAAGTGTGAGACCAAGGTGTTGGCCGGGAAAGGATCTCTTCCAGGACGTGGCCAGTAAACAGCGTCTCCTCCCTGTGCCTCCACATCACCTCCCCTCTCTACACACCTGTGTCCACATCTCCTCTTACAGGACACCAGTCATACTCAATGAGAGTCCAGCCTAGTGAACTCATTTTAACTCAATTTTCTCTGTAAAGACTCTGTCTCCAAACACACTCACATTCTGAAGTCCTGGGGGTCAGGCCTTCAACATCTGAATGTGGGAGAACACAATTCTGAGAACACAATTCTCAGCTTCCCATAGACCCAGGCTCAGACCTTTGCCCAGTGACTACATCCCAATGCTCTGGAGGACAGTCAGCCACTGGAACTTTGAAGCTAGACTACAGTATTACTGGCACAATCTCAGCAGTGACCCCTGGCCCACCTCAATGGCAAAAGGTGTCCTTAAGTGTTGGGTGGCCTAAGCATATGTGGGTGGAACCAGGCTAGAACCAGGTTTGTCTCCACAGTTAACGGGACACCTGTGGTGCCTGTGGAGGCTCCAGTCTTCCAGAACTCAGCAATCTCCAACAGGTGCTCCTGGGTAACCTGGCACACACTGAAGCTCACTGCCTTCCTCTGGGTTGTCAGAAAAACAGGGCCTTTTATCTTCTTGGTTTTTTCTGGTTCTGCCACTAACCACTGGGGGATCTTGAGTAAGTTACTTGAGCTCTCACTGCCTTGGTTTCCTCATTTAGGAAACAGGTGACAACAGTACCTATTTCACAGGGCTGACTGCCATCATCATCATGGTCCCTGATGTTCCCAGTTTCTGCAGTGTGCTAGTAACTGCAAGTCCCACTGTACTATGGAGTACTACAGGCTGCCAACTCAGGAAGCTCTGAAGGTTGAAAGTGACCAACACCTTCCCCCAAATAAAAATTAACCGAAGCTGATTCAACCCAGAAAAGGATTGATTGTCCACAGTGACTACGTGCTGTGCCCATTCGTAGGGGTTTCTCAAAGTGTTGCCTCCTTTTGCAACCTTCAAGTCACCATGGCACTGTGACTGCCTCAGAGAGACCTTTCAGGGATTCTTATTTATCTAACAGTGAGAACCTACTCCGTGCCTGGCCTTATTCTACATACTAGGGACCTGCTGTGAACAGTGCAGGAAAGACCAGTACTCAAAGCCCACCAAATACGCTAGTCCCAATTTATACACACAAAACTGAGGCCAAGAGGAAACCAAGGCTTAAGGTTTAGCAGCTAGGAAGTGACAGAACACGTGCAACAGGAATGCAGAGCCTCCACAGGACTTGAACATCAAATCCCCAGTGCTGCCCAGTGGTTACCCTCACCGATCTAGGGACAAGGCGGATGGACCACCCACTAAGTAGAGGTCAGACAGACAAAGCAGAAGGAGCCCCCTTTTTGGTGCAGAAAAAGCAAATGAAAAAGGCAGCACTGGCAGACTCTCAGAGATCCACCTGCAAGGCAAGGATAAGGATGCAGCAGAGGCTAAAGGCAGATGAGACTGACTTGTTCCTCAGGTGGAAGTCTAGGTAGTTGTAGGAGGCCGATAGGAGAGTGAACACTCTCTCAGGGAAGGGGCCTGAAAGATTGGAGCGAGTGGAGTGAGGGTGAACGTGCAACCTGTTAAGAGCCCATGGAAGTATCCAGTATTTATGGTGTGCCTGCTGTATGCACAGGTCTGCAACCACATCTCATCCCAAGCTCAAGACTCCTGCAATCTGCTGAAAGCTGTTCCACCAGCTTTCTTGGGTGCCCCCAGCACTCAGCCTAGCACAGTACCTGGCAAGCAGCAGGTACTTAATACATTTTTGCTGCTGAAAGAACCACTCAACAGCCCTGCAAAGCGTGTGGATTATTGCCCCCTTTGCCAAGATGAGGATGCTGAAGTTCAGAGCAGGCCAAGGAAGGACCAGTACCAGAATTCAACTGGGCTCCACTCCTCAGGGTACTTTCCTGAGAACAGGGTCTGAGGGCAGCAGACATCCAGAGGGAATGGTTACACCCTACTTGCCACCTGTCCTCTCTTTGATCACATGCCCTGGCCAAGCTCTCAGAGACTGTGGGTGAACAGCGGATGTGCACCCTCCCATCTCTTTGAAATGGGAAAGGCCACACTCACCTCACAAGGAAGGAACTATAGCACAGAGGCCAGGGCAGGCCCGCACAAGTCAGTCCCTAGCAGTCAGCTCTAGGAGGGCAAGCACGCCCTCATGTTGGCACGTTAGACACCCATGGTGGCATTTGCCAAGCAGAACACTGCCTGGCATAGGGGGTGCCCAATGAATTCTTGCTCCAGAAGGGACCAGCACTAAATAAATAAAATGACAAGAATGAATGCAGATGTGCCAGAATGATAACTGTGTGGGATATTTTTGGCTTTCCCTCCTTCCATCCTGCTCTCTTCTCTACTAGCTGATGAACTGCACCAATGACTTCCTTATCTTCTAGCTTCCTGTTGGGATTGGCCAATTGAAGTCACTTGTAGAGGCCAGGCCCACTGTAATCTTAGTTACTTGGGAAGTGAAGATCCAGAGGATCGTAGTTCAAGACTAGCAGGTGCAAGAAGTTGGCAAGACCCCACCTCAACCAATGGCTGAGAATGGTGGTGCACACCTGTCATCCTATGCAGGGAAGCATAAATGGAAGGATCACAGTCCAGGCTGGCCCTAGCATAAAGAGAGACTCTATCTCAAAATAACCAACATAAAAATGGCTGCTAGAGTAGCTCATGTGGCAAAATACTACCTAGCAAGCACAAGGCCCTGAGTTCAATCCCCCCACCCCTGTACCACACAGAAAAAAGCCACTTCTAGGAGATCGAAGGGGAGGACACAGGGTGTTAATTCTGTTGATCTTTTCCGGGTGGATTGTTACAACTTGCCCATATTCCTTCCCTAAAGGGTACAGCTTGTCAAAAGTTCTCTCTTACTTTCCCTGGGTTTTTCTTCTCTTTACTTTCTTTCTTTATTCGGTGAAGGGATTGATTCCAGAGCCAAATGCATGCTATGCAAGTGCTCTACCAATGAGCTAATCCCCAGATCCCTTGGTCTTTGTTACTGCTCCCCCACAAATGATAACAGCTTGATATTTTTACTTGTTCTAGGGTGCTTCAACTTTCTTTGTTGGCTTCCCCTCACACTCTCACATCTTCATAAACAAACCCCCTTCATTACATTCTCAAGTACCACATTTCCTTCTCCTGTTAAAACCATCCTGATCACTCAAGCAGGAAATATCCCTCCCCTGGTGAGCTCCCACAATTCTTTCCAGTTTGTTTGTATAATGCGTTTTGTATTCTGACTTGATAAAGATATTTGGTATATTCATGTTCTCAACTCACTCCGCCACTGTGATCTTGCAGAGTGCAGAGTACTTGCCTGACTCATCATTGGATCTCTCATTCTATTTTGATGTGTCTGCATATCAGGTGTGCAATGAATGACTGAATAAATAAATCAGTGCTTTATTGATTACATAAATACATCACTTCTCAGGTTTATCTGGGGTTAATGTGACTCTCTTGCAGCAGTCTTGGTGCCCTGTCACCATAACCATCCAATGACAAAGCTCTCTTTCTTGGTTCATTCACGATCTCGAAGAGAAGTAAAAATTTTCATAGAATACATCTTATAGTCACAAATCTAATTGTCTCTCTATAGTGTCTGGATCAAGGAATTTTTGCATCAGACTTTAGAGCTCCAGTTTGGCTGGTCCCTTGACCAAGCTTAGACATAGGAATAGTTCTTTAGCCTTTCCTCAAATTTCCTGAGATTATTTTCTTCAGAGGTTTGACACCAAGCCTTCCCATTCATTATAAAAATATTCTATTTCATGTTTGCTGGGGGATATCTAAAACAAAACAACACAAACCATGATGTCAAGTATGAAATTCATTTTACTTCTAGACAGCACAGTGCCTCTGAGAAATTCCTCCCTCCCTCCCTTTCTCATAACTATCCAGGCCATCCACAACTTTGATTCATCTCTTTTGGATATAGCCATCATCTTGACTATGTCTTTTTGTACCTCAAGTTGCATGGAAGGAGAATGGCAGGTCCAGTGGATGAGCCTGGCTCAGAGGTGAAAAGTGGACCCAGCTTTTTTTCTGGAGCTCTTAAATCCTGTATCTCTAACTTCTATTAAACCCAAGTCTCCCCTTTGCTTCAGGGGTCCCATTCCTCACATTTCTGGGTGTGAGCTAGTGGTGTCTGACTTGAATGTGTGATTAGTCCTAAGGATCTTGGTATTTAGAGAAAGCAATACCATTCTTATGGAGAAATTTTAATACTGTAGCCTCAGAGCCAGAGGGAGAGGTAAAGGTAGTGGATGGACACTACATTCCTAATTGCACATCTCATCTCCTTTTCTGGGCACAAGCTGAGCACCCAACACAGTGCTGGTGAGAAACTGAGGGGTCTGGGTGTAGCTGCCTCTGTGATCAGCAACATGTGTTACCAGGGATGCAGAATGAGCTCATCATTTGAAAGCAATTGTGCATGTGCATGATTGTGTAAATTACTTCCTTCCTAGGACCTGCTCAAGGTCAGGTCTCTGTGCTTAAACCTGGTTGTCCTGAAAGGTAATCAGAATATTTAATGAGTGGAGCAAAGTGACCACTTTTGGAGCCTTGTCTCTCATGGCCCCTGAGGTGCCAGGCACTAACCCTTCACATACAGCATCATGGGGAAGTGCATGGAATGTTCTAGGAAGTGGCTGTTTGCCAATCAGTAGAGCCATGCTTCTGTATGCTAATACCAGTGCAGCTGACCAGGGTGAACGAGCTGAATTTCAGACCTACTCTCCTCATAGCCCAGGCTAGGGATCCCCAAAGCTGGGTGTGCAACAGAATCACCAGACAGTGCCTGAAACCATTTGCTCAGATGATTGGGAGCACACTGGTTGATGATGAAACACAAACAGACTTAAGAGATCCCTGTGCCCACCTCCTAAATCTGCAATCTTCAGGAAGCTCCGGGAACAACATTGGCCCAAACACTTACAAGTTCTTGGAAGGAAGGAGAATGCAAAGAGCCACTCACAATGGCTGTTTCCTCCACGTGTACACAGAGAACAGGATTGCCGTCATCGTGATGGCGGCGATGACAATGTTCTTCTGCAGGAACTGCAGCAGCAGCCTGCACAGCTGATTCTTTCTTTGGATATCTAAATGAGAAGACACAGGAAGAGTACACAGAGCAGTGACTCCATGTGCATCCCTGCTGGATGACCCACAACAAGGACCACATGCAAGGACAACCTAGTGGTTCTGCTCAGAGCAGGACTGAAAGCATTAGTGTTAGTCACTGGTCACAGAAGTCCTGTAGGAGAAGGAGCTGGCTTTGTTGTAATCTATTACAGATTTATAGCCTGTCCTGTGGTAGGTGAGATGCTGTGTGTATGGGCTGGAAAGCAGCAACACAGTCAAAGAGAAGGTTCAATAAACCACAGATTGTAGGAGGTGAGAAAAACAGAAGAGAGTTCCCATGGTGAGAGAAGGCCCTGTAGAAGTGAGAAGACCTACGGCAAAGACTTTTGAGAACAATGGAGTTGGGAGCCTGGGGTACAGCTCAATGTTAGACCACATGCCTAACATGCAATAGGATCTGGGTTTGATCCACAACACCACCAAGAAGTTTTTATTTAAAACAAGGACAAAACTCTTCTCTGCTGCTCCTTTCTTTCTGTCTCACCAAATTCAGAAAATTCCATTGGTTATGCAATCTGCCTATGGGTGTAGTTATGGAGTTGAGTCTTGACTGTCAACTAGACTGGATTGGGAGACTAGTAAAGCACACCTCCATACGTGTCTGTGAGGACATTTCCAGAGACAATAATAATGTGGGACAGTAACTGAGGGGAAAGACTCCCCCTGAATATGGGCAGCACCATCCAATAGGCTGGTGGCATGGATGGACTACCATAGAAAAACAATTAGCAATTGCATTGTTATGTAGGAGCTGAGGGACATTTTAGGGACTGAGACGCACTGGCACTGTATGAACACTCCTGGGTGGGACACACCTAACGCTTGCAGGAAAAACCATTACACATGGAGCAACAAATGGTGCTGAGAAAACTGGATATCCACATGCAAACAGAAAAAGGTAGATCTTGATCTAACACTATATACAACAGTTAACTTGAAATGAATCAAAGCACTGGAGATGTAGTTCAGTGGTAGAGTGTTTGCCTAGCATGTGTGAGGCCCTGAATTCAAACTACAGAAAAAAAAAGAAGGATCAAAGAGCTATATCTAAGAGTAAGACACAAAACTATAAAACTAAACATGAGGCAAAAGCTTCATGGATATGAAGCAAAGGATATTGCCTATGAAGACAAAGACAGGCAACAAAAGAAAAAATGCACACATTGGACTTCATGTGGTGGCACACAGCTATAATCCCAGCACTCGAGAAGCAGAAGCAGAAGGACCCTGAATTTGAGGCCAACCTGGGATACACAGCTAAAATGTGGAGCAACTGAAGTGACCATCAGTGAATGAATGAATAAGGAAAATATGGTATATACATAAAATGAAATGTTCTTCAGCTTTTAATAATAAGCCAGGTGTTGGTGACTCATGACTGTAACACTGTGTACTTGGGAGGCTGAGGTTGGGAGGATCATAGTTTGACCCCTTCTCCAAAATAATTATAGCAAAAGAAGTGGAGCTGTGGCTCAAGCGGTAGAGCACCTGTGTTGAGAGCACGTGTTTTGCAAGCTCAAAGCCCTCAGCACAAACCCTAGTCCAACCAAAAAAAAGAAAAGAAAATTCTGATACATACTACATTGATGAGCATCTAGAGCATTATGCTAAGTGAAATAAGTCAGTCACAAACAGATACAAAGATGGTGGTTAGCAAGAGTACTGGGAGGAGGGAATGGGAGCTATTATTTAATGAATATAGAATTTCAGTTTTATAAGATGAAAACAGTTATAGAGATAAATGGCAGTGACAGTAGCACAAAATTATGAATATGTTTAATAACATTGAAATGTACACTTAAAATGGTTAAGTTTGTAAATTTGGTCACACAGCTTGATTACAACAAAAAATTGTTTTAAAAACCACACATGGTGGCACAAGCCCATAATCTCTGCATTTGAGAGGCTTAGTTGGGAGATCTCAAGCTCAAGGCTACAACACAAGACTGTGTGAAAGAAAGAAAAAGATCACATGCACCAATTCTTAACAGTTACAAATCACAGTTCCATCCACATATGCACAGTGACCAGCCACCGGGCATCACCAAACATCACTACGACCAAGTGGGGTTTATTCCATGAATGCAAGGTTGACTCAACACTAATTAATGCCATACATAATAATAATAGATTTAAGGAAACATCATATGTAGTTTCATGGGTACTGAAAGGCCCTATACAAAATTCAAGAGCCATTCCTCGTGGGGAGTGGATTAGGAGAAGCCTATGGGAATTTGTCATAAGCCCAGCTGTGCCCAATAATCGGCAGGCTGAGTTTGGCATGGCCCCAGCCGCACAGGAGTGCAGGATGCAGCGCAGCTGCTGTTCCTAAGTTGTTTACGTTCAGAGAAGTAGGAACACGGGTTTCTCTTGTTACAGTGTCATGCCCCTACCTGAGAACTGTTGCTCCATCTCCTTGTTTATCACTGGATATAAAAGACTCGCTGAAGGAGACGGGTTTTTTCTGATGGGGGGTTGATTAGCTGGCTACAGGCTGCTGCTGCTGCTGCTGCTGCTGTGTGTCTCCACCAGAGCAGCTTTCTGCACTGAGAACTTTATACATAGGCTTCAGAAAAGCTAAGCTAAAGGAAAACTAAAGAGAACATGGGCAGTGCAAGTCTAAGGACTGAGACTTTAAGAGTTATGCTAATGCAGTTTGTAGATGCAGCTGTGGTTGTTTGTTTGCAAGTCTGAGCACAGGGGCTTTAAGAAAGCTAAACAGAAAATATGGGACAGAGCAAGTCTAAGGAAAGAGACTTTAAAGAACAGAAAAGAAGCGAGGCTTTAAAGAAAGACTTTAGAAGTAAGGCCTTAAAGAATACAGAAGTCAGAGTTATAGAGAAAGGAAGCAATGACACTGCTGTGTCTCCATCTGAGTCCCCAGCACACCTGGACCCAGCTTTATGCATGTTTGTCTATCGTTTGTCCTTTCTGCATCTCCCATCACCCCCAGTTAGGTTCAGGAGGAACAGGAGCTTGTGAAAACTCCCTACAATTCCTGATTTCAAAAGTACTCCAGCAAATAGAAATTGAAAGAAAAAATTTCAATATGTATGTATGTACTTGTGTATATCTATATATATATCTATATCTATCTATCTATCTATCCATCAATGTGTGTATGGTTGAATAGAACAGATCAATAGAAAGATAGATAATCTCTCATATTAGTCTCATAACTGCTATCTTACTCAGAAAACACTAGAGACATTTCCTCTGAGAGAGGTATAAGACAGCATGGAACTATATCTCCACTACTACTCAGGAGTGTCCTAGAGATATTAGCAATGAAATTAAACATGATGCACAAATCAGTGACAGGAACAATAATTTATAAAGAAGTAAAATCATGTCTATTTGCAGATGATATACCAGCAAACCTACCGAGTAAGGTTCTAAGATATAAAATGAAAACACAGAAATTAGCTACCTTCCTGTTACCAAAACATTAATTAGGTAGAGGACATATAATAGGGAAGTCACCACTTACAGGAACAACACAGAAAAGCAAAATTATTTAGGAAAAGTTTAGCAAGATAGGTGAAAAACTATACATGAGGAAAAATAAGACAAGCACTGAAAGAGCCAGAAGTATACTTGAAGACATCCCATTCCTAGGCTGGGCAGACTCAACATCAGCTGTGCCAAAGTGACTTTTGCTTTAGAAACATAATGCAGTGCCAAGAAAAACACCAGCAGACTTTTGATAGAGGCAGACAAGTTGATATTACATTTTATGGGGAAAAACACCAGCAGACTTTTGATAGAGGCAGACAAGTTGATATTACATTTTATGGGGAAAAACATACAAAAAAACTGGGTGGTCAGATCATAGGAAAATGGAGTAATCCAGACTAATTACGTCAAAAATTGTTAGGCGAAAACACGTGGCAAAAATTTCATGATATTGCATTTAGGGATAATTTCTTGAATATGACACCAAAAGCACAGGCAGCAAAAGAAATACAGACATTCTAGCCCATGTGTGGTCCTCAGTATACATTTGTCCACTCATCTCTCCCCAGGCAATACCAGGGACCAAAGGAATGCTGAATTTTAATCAACGTGTGCAATTTACAGGAGGAGACAAATTTAGGGGTATTAGCAACAGTCATTTTAAAGATTATTCTGTGATCCCAAGCCATCTAGGTCATTGTCCCCAAATGACAGAGACTTGTCTCCTGGTGACTGCAGAAGAGTCACTGAGAGAGTGTGTGAAAATGAGCAGATTCTTGGGTTCTACTTTTACAGACTGTTGGTGTATTCCAGGAGTAAGGATTTTTAATAAGCTCTTTCCATTCTCCAACCTCCACCCCATGCTGATACAGCCAGGGAAGGGAACCAGTGTGCCTCTCTGGACACTTTGCCCCAGGAAAGGCCACATATCTGTAAGTTCAATGACTTTTTTCCCCAGTTTTTCAAAGGAAAAAATAGGAATAAGGTTCCTAGAATATTTGAATATCCTGTCTTCGGGGCCAATCTTCTGCCACCATAATAAGATGAGTAATTTGAGCCTTTGGTCACTGGCTGACAGAAGCACCTGCCCATGCTCCTCAGGGGATGGACAGCCTTCCTCTGGCTAGCCTCAGGAATGTGCTTGGCCCCTCACAAGCCCCACCATCCCCAGGAGAAAGGGACTTTGCTGGTACAAGTGGGAGGAGGACTGGATGCTGTGTCAACTCACCCTCTCCATCCTGGCACTGGTGTGCCTGCCAAGAACAGACCTTCTGGAATTCACATTTTGTAGAAGCAGAGGTTCACAGGCTATTACAGTATCCTCAACCTGGCCCGGGATTACACATTCTCCTGATCTGGGGTAAAGCACCTGCAGTACCCAACCAAGATGTCTCTATAGGAGATTGTGACTCCATCTGCCAGAGCCATAGCACAGTCTCATATTTGGTTCTGAACTCAGACAAGAGGAATTCCTCTTGTATTGACCCAATCCCAATTTTGTCCATTTTCACTTACCATTATTGAGAATTTTGTTCAAAGCATCAAGAAATTATTCTTCTTCTGGAGAATTCCAGGCATCACTGAATCCTTTGATGAAACACATGGAAGAAAGAGAGATTTTCTTTAGTCACACTCATGAGCATCGTGGGCCAATGTTTCCTTTTACATTTGTAAGTTGAATGCTTGTATGCAGAAATGTGTTTGAAAGGGAATAGGTGAATGTGGAAAGAGATATCACGTGACTGCTGATTGCAGAGGAGCCCAGTTAGTTGAAATGGGAAAGGAGCCTTGGGAACTGGACTGCACAACAATGTAATCATGTCAACACATATTCAGTCCCCTGCTGCCAAGGTCACATTTATCACTGTTGGCAAGTTGCTGATTCAGAATTATATCCTTACTACCTGTGATCACATACCTGTCTTAGCTCTCTACTCTTCTTCAACAACATGGAACTGCTTTGAAGGAACAGTATGTTCTTCATTTTTGTGATTTCGATGGTGTGACAAGTCACGTTTGTTCTTGTCATACATCGAGTGAGGTATTAGTGATCACATGTCTCCCTCAAACTACTTCAAGCCCATGGGAGTAGAAAGTGTGTTGAGTGGAAAGTTATTGTGCTACCTACGCTTCATGATACCAGAAACAGTGAGCCCCACTTGCAAATCAGGTTCCTGTCCTCTGAATGGCTTCCATAATGGCAGAACCTGTCTTACCCTGCCCAGAAAGGGTCACCCCAAAGCATGTAGATAGTCACACTTTAGATCAAATAATCCATAGTTGCTGGAGTTATAAAAAGAATTTTAGACAGCTCTTTTCTTGATACTTCAATTTTATACCATCCACCAGGAGCTGTCTTAAAAAATTCTAAAATAATAGCATCTTCTACCTGACACAGTATACAGGCTTACAGAAATACGCACTCATTAAGTGTTAACCACATATATTTGTCTTCATCAGCATCTGCTCTGTAATCAGCTGGCCTGATGTTCTCAGTTCATATTTCATGCAACACATGGCTCTGGAAGAAACACCTGTGATAGAATCTTGTCTCTAGGGAAACAAACAAAGGCATGTTAGCACCACAACAGAGGACTGACATTCTTTACTCTGGAATTACCTAAAGAGGTCTCTGAATATGTCAATAAATGTGACAAAATGCCCTGTCTTGGCAAGGGAGATTTCAGCTACCTAAATCATTTCTGAAACCTGTAACAGGATGGATATCCTGTGCACTTAACACGGTCCACCAAAGATACATGGCTAGAAATTCTGCCCTACCTTTTATGATATTTAGTGCCACAGTGCCAAAATTTCCCTTCTCATTCTTGGTGTCATTCCCCTATAGAACTTTCCCCATGATGACCCGTGAAAGTAGTAGAAACATGTCAAAGGGTCTTCTGTTGTAAAACTGTTATTAATGTTTTAGGGCTCCATTTTTTGAATGCAGTGCCATCCAATAGGCTGGTGGCTGAGGTGGAATAAACATGGAAAAGTGAGGAATCCAACAGGGCATTCTCCAACTTTCTGCTTCCTGGTGCCGTGAGGTGATCAACTTTGTTATACTGCACTCTTACGCCATGCTGTTGTGCCTCACCATGGGCCAGAAACAGGGAGCCAGTAGACCATGGACTGAAACCTTGACCCAAAATAAATCTTCCTCCTTTAAACGGTTTCTCTCAGGTATTTGTCGCAGCAACAAAATACTGACTCACATAGTAAGTTTGAGGGTTCATCAAGCATATGCCAGATAGGATTTCAAGCTGTTATGGAAATCTTGAGATGGCTTTGCAATACTACTGAGCCTACACTTGGGAGTTTAGGCAATCATTGCTGGATTTCAAAAGAAGGAGATCCAGCTGATATCAGGGACTCCTTGGCTTAGTCACTCCATTTCTTATGTGCCCAGTGAAGAAGAAGGCATCAGAGAAATGGGACACAGAGATACAATGACAAGAATCAGCTGGTTTAGTGTAGAGAGATGCTGAGAGAACTGGTGACACAGGCAAAAAAGTGCTGGTGGAGGGCCTTCTAAAGTCATGGGGAGAAAGAGAGCTATGCCCCAAATCTTCATCTCTGCTGTCAAGAGGCAGCAGATAATTGGTTCTAAGAGCTTGCTAGGAAGAACCCAGAATTTAATTTCTGAAAGGCAGGGAGTTACAACCGGTTATTCCTTTGACACAGAGTGCTGATGTGGAGGGTACACAGGACTTGGTACCAGCATGGGCCAGTTTCTAGCCACTCGGAATGGGAGCAGCTCACTTGGTTCAATAAGGAGGGAGAGATGCCACACATCAGGAACTACGTTAGCGCTTGCCATTTAATCCCTCCTGCTTGTTAGAGAGCCTCAGTGCCCAGAAGTGGAGGAACTCATGCTTATGGTCAGAATGACCCCGTCAGCAGAAAAGTAGCACCACTAAGGAGAGGCTTGGTTCAAGAGGGAGAACACCTACCTAGCATGCATGAAGTCCTGAGATCAAACCTCAGTACAAAAAGAAGGGGAAAATGTAGCATCTTCACAAAAAGATGGTCACATTCCTATAGTTCATTTCAGTTAAAATCTTAATTTCAGACTACATACTTTTGCAGGAGAATTAAAGGTGTGCTAATATGTATTCAGGTAAAATACCAAGAAAGGCAAAGGATATTCTGCAGTCATCTCTATGTGAAGATATTACTAGGTTTGTTCTGTAAGGATTGTTACCTGGATTAACTGCTTCTTGAGACATTTCTTTAGTTTCAGTAGTAATTGCTTTCATACATCTCTGTAGAAAAGAGAGGATTCCTTAACTCTCTTCTCTTCTGAAATGTCATCTACAAAGACAAAAAAATAACATGTTGCTACAGTTTGGGTCTTGATTATCCTCAAAGACCCAGCTGTGAAAGACTTGGTCAGTGAATTGGTGCTATTGGAAAGTACTGGAACCTTTAAGAGGTGGGGTATACTGGGAGATCTGCAGATCACTGGGTGCATGCCCTCAAGGAGGACTGTGACCCTGTTCTCTTTTTTGCTTCCCAGCCATGAAGTGAGCAGTTCTGTGCCACTGTAAACTCCTGCCATGACATGCTGCCTTACCACAGACTCAAAACAATAGTGCCTATCAATCCCAAACTAGAACCTCCTGAAAGTGTGAGCCAAAATAAACCTTTTCTCTTTTTAAGTTGGTTATCTCATGTATTTTATTATAGTGACAGAAAGCTAACACTCATGAGGACATTAAAAACCACCATTGGCCTGTGATTAATTCTGTTTTTATGATGAAATAAGAAGTGAAGAGTTGAGGAGGATTTTTGAGAAGATTCTAAGTGTCTTGGTTTCATTACTTTAACAAATTCCTGGGTCTCTAACCCACACATGACGGAGGACAGTGGTTCTCACAGTGGAGTGCTTCAAGGTGACTGGGAAGGCTTGTTAAAGCCCAGATCGTTGGGCCCCACTTCAGGATTTCTGACTCAGTAGGCCTATGTGGTTTAGGTAGGCCTGAGAATGTGCATGTCTCTCGGATCTCAAGAGACACTACTGGGGCTGGTATCGTGGCTCAAGTGGTATCGCACTTGCCTAGCAAGCATGAGGCCCTGGTTCAGCATGGCCAATAAAACAGGCAAGAGATATTACTGTTTCCAGTCAGGAGTAACTTTAGAGGACCTAATGAAGGACTTCCAGCCTTTCTCAGAACCTCTGTGAACCCCCGTCGCCATCTCTACTTACATGAAATAGCATTTAAGTACTAAGACTTCTTCACAGATGGCATAGTGTTCATGAAAATAGTATGTAATCCACAACGTCCTATACAAAATGTTTCTTGAGTTGCTAGGACAAAATAAGGAAGTATTTATTGAGAGAGAGAGAGACTACAGAATGGTTTAGAAGAATGAAGACAGGGTGAATATGAGAAATATTCATATCCTAGCTCTGCCATTGGCTATCTTGACTCATTTGCATAGGAGAGCTGGCAAAGGGCCTGAGTGAGTTTGGCTTGGAGAACTGGGAGGACAGGAGAGTTATCAGACAGGAATCGCCCCGGGGAAAGTATGAAGGGTGTTCTGAGAGGTTCCAGGGAAGGAGCTCTGGGAAGATCTGTTTGAACTATTTAGCAGACGGAAAGGAGAGTCATCCAAATGGGAATGGTGGAGGTTGAGAAATAATGACCCTCACACCCCCAGAAGAGTCCAACCCTGGAAATCCCAGGCCCTAGAGTGGAGACTTCCTAGACCTGAAGGGCCAGTTTGGATCAAGTTTGGTTATTCCACTTTGGTCAGCCTCACAAAGAGGAAAGGAATCACTGCAAATGTGACTAGACTATCAAGTGTGTATAATAACCCCCTCATGAAGCTCTAATTATTCCAGGGAAAAGAGAGGAATTTTTTTTCCTTTTTCAATTTGGCTTAGAAAATAGAGAAAATTCTCATGCCATGCACAGATGGCTCACACCTGTAATCCTAGCTATTTGGCAGGTTGAGATCAGGAAGATCATAGTTCGAGGCCAACCCAGGCAAAAAGTTAGCAAGACCTTATATCAACCAATATCTGGGCATGGTGGTACATACCTGTCATTCCACCTATGCAGGAGGAGAGTGCTTCCTGTCCACTCCAGGCAAAATAGTTTGTGAGACCGCATCTTAACAGAAAATAGCCAGGGATAGTTGTATATACCTGACATCCCAGCTATAGCAGGAATCATAAAATATGACCACCATGCTCCAGGCTGGCCTGGCAAAAAGCAAGACCCTAATTCCAAAATAAAGAACCAGAGCAAAAAGAGGTTGAGGTGTGGTTCATGTGGTAGAATGCCTGTCCAGAAAGTGTGAAGTTCTGAGTTCAAACCTGGAGAGAGACAGAAAGAGAGAGAGAGAGAGAGAGAGAGAGAGAGAGACCGACCTCCATTTAATATGACTTATAATTACTTGACTTTAGAAATACCAACTTGTCAAATCAGACAGAGAAGACTGTGGATGACAGGAAGCCAGTCCATCAAAGGACCGTGCTTGCCTAGCTTTCTCAAAGAGCAGCATAAAAACTAGCCTTTACCTTTGAACATGCATTTTTTTCTTTCCTTCTGTATAAAATGGTGGTGGAGAGGAAGAAACAGAACTAAGAACTGTTCTCCACACTTATCATCAATATGGTAATAAGTTTTCATTTAACTAAGTTTCTTTCAAGAGTTTAAAGGAAGTTTATACATTGATGAGTTGGAGTTTGATCATTTGTTGGATTGTTTTCAGTGGGAAAAATAAGAACAATTATCAGGTTTTGATACACGCAGTTGGATTTCCAAACTTCTTTTCAATTTCAGATAACTATGAATTAGATAAGCTTGATACACAGCATAAGGTGCCTGGGTACAGGGAAAGGTGGGTGGGGTAGAAAGGCAAGGGAGGGCAACAGAAAACAGTAGACAGAGACCAAGTGAAATCCAGAAATATTGAAATTTATATTTGTAAAAGACACAATGGACACTATCATAGACCAATAAGGAAAATGGTAGGAAAGGCGGAGAATCATCCCCAGCAGGACTGCAATCAAAAGAACAAACAAAAATCTTAGGAAACTCCACAGGCTCACAAGCTGGCACTTTGCGAAAATAAAGTTTCAAATAGGAGATCTGCACACCATGCAGCAAGCATGCTGAAGAAGGAACCCTTCACTTCCTAGCTTACTCATGGTTGCCAGGGAAGGTCTTACAGTCAAACCTCCCAGGCAGAGGAAGAAGATCTTGCATTTTTTTTAAATCTCCAAGCCCCAAAGGCTTCCCCCCTCCAGTGGGCCAGGAAACTGGTTGTGACATGGAGTCCTCTTCATAGATACAGATCTACTTGAGTAGAAACTGCAAGCTGCAAACTATGCTGCAGAGTCAAGGTCAAAAACATTAGTGAGCTACAGCCTGAAGTCTGATGAGAGGGAGAAGCTGTGTATGACCACAAGCAGGGGTTTTATGATAGAGAACCGAGAATAGAGCACACAGGTTCAATCAGAACCTAATGCCTTATCCAGGCAGTTTTAACTGCTTTGTATGCTCTAAGAGGGCTGAAGAGATTGGTGGAAAGCAGCCAAGTGTCAGGAGTTTCTCACACAAAACCCACATGGACAGTGCACATCTAATGTGAGGAAGCATCCAACTGATATTGAGGGGGGCGCCTCAGGCTTAGCTGGTGGAAGCAGTTTGAGGACAGCTCCTGCACAGGAATCCAACCCAGCAGGAGGGAAGGCAGGACAGAATTCAGCCTGTGTATGCTCCTTTCCAGTTTAATTTGTTGGACCACAGAGAGAAAAATAGCACAAACTCTCTCTCTCTCTCTCTCTCTCTCACACACACACACACACACAGACACACACACACACACACACACACACACAGAGTATACTGCAATACACAAGTCTTGTGGTGGGGGGTGGATTGGGGAGAAGCTTCATTCTCTTCTCCTCACCTGGGAAAAAAGTGACCAGTGGCTTTGTTCCATTGCTATTAGTTGTGATTGTTTTGCTTTTCTCTGTGTTCTCCCTTGGTATTATTTCTTATTCCTTCATCTTATATATGATCCCTCCCTTTTATATCTTGCTTCTCTCCGTTTTCCTTTCCTCATCCCCCTTCATTTTACAGTTAATTATTAATGCTTCTAGTTCAATAATTTTTAAATTCCTAGTTTATCCTGTACGTATTCTACTTACTTTTCTAACTTTAGGACAGTGTAGTTATTGTGGAAGAGGCCCTCTTTTAAGTAAATATGGTGGATAGAGAAAGACTAAGGGCCAGATGGAACATGGAACTGAGTTAAGCCAGTTGAATGGACTGGATGGAATGCAAAAGTAAAAGTCAAGATCACAAGGTGTTCTTGTACACATGAAATTCAAACCATGATCTCGGGAAGAGACAGCCAATCATGAAGATCCACAAAAAGGCACACAGCCAGGCAAAAGTATCCAAACCCAAGGTATAAAACCTACACACAATCCTGTCTAGAGCACTATGCTCCCTTGTCTAGATGCTCACTCTTGCTCCCTTTGAACAGTGATTCTTTGTGTTTCTTACTCTCCTGGCTTGGTAAATTCTTTTACCAACTTGTTGCTCCAAAATCCATAACAGTCAATGCTTGAAGTTGTTTTTAAGTACATTTAAATTCCTGGTTTGTTTCCGAATTGTTGATTTGTTTCTTTTGTCTTCTTTCTTTCCTGTGAGTGATAGTGGGGATCAAACTTCAAAAGAAGGCTGTTCTCTATGAAGTCTCCCCTTTAAAAGAAACAGATATCCATCCCAATAAATGCACAAATTGCACCATAGAAACATAGAAAATATGAAAAAGCAAGGCACTATGACTCCTCCCAAAGCTCATAACTCTTCAATAACTGAATCCAAAGATACTGAAGGGGTTGAAATGCTGGAGGAAGAATGCAAAACTCTAGTTTTAAAAATAATCAGAGATCTCAAAAAAGATTTAAAAGAACAGATAGATGAAGTAAGGAAGTCAAGTTAAGACTGGAAAAGAAATGGAGCAACATGGATGAGAAATTGTGCAATTGAGATTCTGGAAAAAAGCAAATCAGAAATGTTGGAAATGCAAAACTCACTAAACAAAATTTTAACAACAGTAGATAGCATTATTAATAGATAGATCAAGCAGAAAAATATCAAAGATTAGAGATAAGGCCAAGAAGTATTAAATTCACACAGTAAGAAAGAAAAAATAAACAAGCATGACTATAATTTTCAAGAATCTGGGATAAGATCAAGACATAAAACCTAAGAACCCATGAGGAAGAAGAAGGATCTGAGATATAAACTGAAGGCATAGAAAACATATTCAATGAAATTATAGGAGAATATCTCCAAATAAATTCCCTAGAGAGAAAGATAGAGACATCAAAGTACAGGAGACATTTAGAATCCCAGAAAGACATGTTACATTATTATTAAAATGTCAAGACTACAGAACAAAGACAGAATATGAAAGAATGCAAGAGAAAAATGCCAACTTGCTTACAAAGGGAAATTCATCACAATTATGTCAGACCTCTCACATAAGCCCAAAACTCCAGGAAAGCAAGAAACAATATAGTTCTAACCCTAAGAGTAAATAACTGCCAATCAAGTATACTATATTCAGCTAAATTATTGTTGGAGACATAAAGAACTTCCAAGATAAGCAAACATAAAATAATTCAAGGACAAGCAAGCCAGGGTTGCAGGAAATACTTAAAGGTAGCCTCCGACACACATGTGAGGAAGAAGGACGGTCACAAATGTAAGAGCTCAGGAAAGAATAAATTTAAGGAGAGGAGTAAGTGAGCAAATGAAAATTAGTAAAGAATCAAGCATGTTAAATTCAATTAACCAGAAAACTCCTATGTTGGATGAGGGAGAAAAGAAAAGAACAAACACTAACTGGATCAGTTGGGGGGAGTTACAGGAATCAGCCAATATCTCATAATAATAACCCTAAATGTACATAAATCGTCTCAATTCTCAGATTAAAAATCACATAGTCATGCTATGTGATTGGATTTAAAAAATCTAACGATTTGTTGTCTGCAGGAAACACATGTCACTGGCAAAGACACTGAAGGCAAAAAGATGCAAACAAACATATTAAGCAAGTGGAAGCTGAAAGCAAGCAGGAGCAGCTGTACTTATATCCGACAAAGTAGACATCAGCCCAAAATTAGTCAGAAGAGGCAAGAAAGGTCACTACATATTAATGAAGTGAACAATCCATCATGAAGTTGTAATGATTATAAGCACATATACACCAAACATTGGGGTACTTAACTTCATAAAACAAAAACTACTGGACAGAAAGGGACAGAGAGGTACCAACACGTTAATAATGTGTGACTTCAATATCCCACTCTCATCAATAGATCATCCAGACAAAAAAATGAACAAATGAATTTCAGAGTTAAATGCACCATAGATCAAATGGCCTTAACAGATAGCTACAGAATATTGCATTCAATAGCCACAGGGTATACATTCTTCTCAGCAGCTTATGGAAGTGTCTCCAAAACAGATCACATTTAGGCCATAAACCAAGTTTCAACAAATTCAAAACTACTGAAATATTTTCTTGTATCTTATGAGACCATAGTGGAATAAAACTGGAAATCAATAGCAAGAGAAAATATACACACACATGCTTCTTGAACAGTATACTTTTGAATCAGCAGTAGGCTACTGAAGAAATCAGAAAGGAAATTTTTTAAATTCTGAAAATCAAATGAAAATGAAAACACAATTTACCAGAACCTTTAGGATATAGAAAAAGCAGTTCTAAGAGGGAAATAGCTATGAGTGCCTATATTAAAAACCACAGGGATATGAAACAAATAACAAAATGATACACCTCAAGGTCTTAGAAAAACAAGAACAAGCCAAAACCAAAATTAGTTCCTGGAGGAAGTATTAAATATGAGGGTAGAAATT